CAGCAGACTTGGAAATGACACCAAGCAAGTCTGGCTCTAGAGGGTAAATAAACCAGAAAGAGAAACGTGCTTTGTTATAAACTGATGTTCAAAGCTTAGCAGCCGGAGTCCTGTTACTGTGACAGAATGACTTTCACTTTTGCAGTTCTCAGGATTCTGAGCAGGAGCATCCATGGACTTCTCTCTTTTTCATAGAAAATTCAGAGAATTAGACAGTGGTTTTCCACCCTTGTTCCTTCCTATTACTGCTTATCCTCTCTCTTCAACAAAATTAGAGATAAGGGCAAAATAGTTTCTGCCGGGTATCGAGGGGGTGGGGGCCAGGGAGGGGGCTGAGTGGGTGATAAGGGAGGGGGTGGAGGCAGGGGGGGGAGAAATGACCCAAGCATTGTATGCACATATGAATAATAAAACAATAAAAATTTTTTTAAAAGATCGTGGTTTTCCTTATTTGTTAAAAATATTAATCCCTATGGCTCCCATGGGACAAGCCAGTGCCTATTGTAATTGTGGTTTATAGAAAGAGGACACCTTTGTCAAGTTGACACCTCACTCATTAAAAGTAGGGAAGAAAGTCATGTTGTTAAGGAACTGCGGGTAGCTCAGATGGGCTCAGTCTTGATTTCAGGAAATCTGAAGGACAAGCTGAAAGGCCAAAAAGTAGGCAGGGAGGGGTTAGGTAACACGGAAGTTTTCAATTCATTCCAGAAACAATGCAGGGGGGTTGAAGAATGTTAGGAGACAGAAACCAATTTGAACTTTAGCAAAATTGCATTGGCTGCTGTGTGGTGGGACAGATTAAAAGAGCAAAGTGAGAGAAAAGCCAGTTGTCAAGGACACTCTGACTGTGATCATGGTGAGAAACTGATGGAACCGACAGAAACCGCAGACACAGCCATGGGGCTGATGAGAGATAGAGGTGTGCAATTTCCAGTACAGATGAGGCCTGGTGACTGAAGAGATGTAGAAGAGGGAGGTGGGTGGGAGGGATGTGGCAAGAGGTGTCAAGGGTGACTCCCGGGTTTCTGGCTTGGCAGCTTGATTGGACCCATTGCTTTTTATTGAGTAGAGAATACAGGAGTCGGGGAATGGATGGGATCAAATCCCAAGATATATGCTCTGATCTAGTGCACACTCACAAAATAGCCAGAGGAAATGGCAATAAGGCCCCAAGACAGGAAACAAAGGGCTGGTTGCAGAAAGAAGGGGTTGCATCAATGAGACTTTTTCTCTCTAGGGTTTGAGAAAGGGGCTCCAGGATGTCTAGGTTAGAAACCTGCAACCTATGTTGACCACATCTGAAAAAAAGAAGCCAGGATTAGACAAAACAAGGGTGTCATTATTCATGCTGCAAAAAGAGCTGAGGATAACACCTGGCAAGTAGAGTCATGGAGCCAGAAAATGGGAGAAAACCAATCCAGCAGGGCCAGCATGGGAAGCAGGACACACAAGGAGGAGACAAGCAGAGCAACTGAGGCAAGAATCCTGGAGAAGATGAATTGCTCAGGCAGAATTCCCTTGACTCTTGGGAGGGATGTTCCGCTGGACTGAGGTGGGGCCTCAAGGAGGGTGGAATTAGAGGGACATACAGGACACAAATCAAGCTCCATGCTGAGGGGTCTACCATGCTGACTGTTGGTACTTTCTGTCACAACCACCTAAGGGATCTTGAATATTCCCCAATGATCAAGATCTTGACTCCATAGCCTTTCTTATCCTTCCTTCTCATTTTTATTTCAACTCCGTCATAAGAGTTAAGCCATATAAGCTCTATGCATCTAGTTAGTCAAATCTGTGATTTATTCATTCACCAAATAATTATGAAACATTGCGATATGTCAGACATTGTGGTTATCATTGGTAATAGTGCAGATAATGAAACATAAAATTGACCAATTCCATCTGAGCAAGTCATTTCACCTGCAAACATCAACTTGCCACTTAAGAAATTTCTAAGACCCTTCCAACTTAGACCTCCTCACCAACATATATGCTATACATATAAGTATGTTATTTTCCAGTCCAAGTAAATACACATGACAAAGGACTATTTCCTGGTTTGGGAATTAGTATAGAAAGTCTTATAAATATATAAACACTAAGATAGAATGACATGTTCAATAACTCACTTCTATGAAAAAGAACAAAATTATATGGAGTGGATACTAGGCCGGGAGAGCCATTGTGTTGTCATCATCCTAGTGCTAGAATTTGGTTAGCTAAGCTCAACCAATAAGACATGATCTGAATGTGGCTTCAAATCAACAGGACATTATCTACATTTTTGAAGGAAAGTTTGCGTAGATAACTAACGGTGCCCTGAGGGTAAGAGCTGCAATCCTGGAAGTAGATACTGTCCGTTATCAGAAAAGTGGTTGATTCAGCATTTTCCATTTCCTCTTCTCACCCTCCCCAACTCCTAGAAATCAACTCACAGAAGCTGAATTTTGGGTATGAAGGCAGTTCCCCTAGAAATGAGTGAAAGAGTATACTTGAAGGTGCCAATCAGGATGAGAGGCAGGAAGAGTGGGTTGAGAAAGAAGCATCGTCTGTGATGTCACTTCTAATGCAACAAATGATTGCAACTTCTTTCTTTGACATTGACAGCAATACGAGGAGATACTTCGATGCCACAGCCCGAGTGAACCTCCCATTGCTATTGTTCTTGTCTTAACTTCACCTCCCTCACTACCAACATTAACAATCATAGAGAGGGATGGAAACAGAGCCTGTGTGTTTTTCAAAAAGTCACTCTACAGACACTTAGGAAGACAGAATTCCTGAGTGAGTCTTGCTTTGTTTATGTCTAATGCCCTCCACTGTTCTCTGGTGTCTGACATAACAACTCTTAACTCATTTCAGGGAGAATTCAAGACCTTTCCTGGTTTGGCCCTAGTTTAGCTTCATTGTCCATATTCCCCACACTGTTTTTCTACTCCTTGAATGGTTCCCACTTCCCTCTGAACCCACAATGTCTCACCTGTGACTTTGCATCAGCTGGACCTCCACCTCACACCTCCTCCACATGTGTTCAAATCCTGTGTTGTTTCCAAGTTCCATTCCTTCCATAAATCTTTCCCCCGTCTTCCTGCAGGCCCCCTCTCTCTTCTCATAGTGTCCCGAACCTTCACTTCCTCTCCTGTAAGAGTCTTAACACTTTCTGCTAATTCTTGTTCACATTTTCCACCTGCTCCTACAGAGACTGAGGGCATCTGAGGATAAGGGCCATTAAAAAGAGCTCAACCCATATCTCCTTAAAAAGTGTGACATATGCTTATTGACTATGAGATAATAAAATAATAAAGGATGGGAAAGAAAAAAACATAGACTGAGAGGATAAACTCACACTAAACCACTGAGATTGTACATTGAAAGGAACATGAAAAAACCTGTTACAAGTTTAGCATTAGTTATGTAAATATATACAGTCCTTAAAATTGTTCAAAGAAATGAGAAATCAAGACTCCATTTCAGCAAAGGCCACTTGACAAAAACTTTAGCATACTTATCAAAAATTTCTTTCAAATTAAACAATCAACAATGACCTACTTTTCAACCAGTGATGATGTAAATGCTTTAAAGCAAAACTGATTCATAAATTTTTGGCTAATCAGGAAATTAATAGTCTCACTAAATGAGAAAAATCTGGAAAAAGAAGAAAATTAATCACACAAATACAAGCACAATTAATTCTTTTTTTATTGTTTTATTATTCATATGTGCATACAAGGCTTGGGTCATTTCTCCCCCCTGCCCCCACCCCCTCCCTTACCACCCACTCCGCCCCCTCCCTTCCCCCCCCACCCCCTCAATACCCAGCAGAAACCATTTTGCCCTTGTTTCTAATTTTGTTGAAGAGAGAGTATAAGCAATAATAGGAAGGAACAAGTGTTCCTGGTTGAGATAAGGATAGCTATACAGGGAGTTGACTCACATTAATTTCCTGTACATGTGTGTTAAGCACAATTAATTCTTTAGGGCATTTATTTCCATGCTTTCTTTTTTCCATGCCTAGATTAGGCACAGAAATGTGTGTATATTTCCATGCATTTGTACAATTCTTCATTTTGTATAATTTTATCCTGCTTTTTACCACTGAGGTTTATAACTATGTTGATGCTACTTCATTCTTCATTCATTTTTAAAGTTTAAAAATAAACAACCCATTGGATATGCCATTATCATTCTCTCATAGAGGAAAATTAGGTTTCCTTATTTGTGAGTTACAAATGGTGCTGGGCCACATGTCTTTATATTGGAAGATGTTTCTATGTTTGCATTGTTTCCACAGAACTCTTTCTTAGATTGATGGGTATAAATATTTTTGGGGTTGCTAACATATTGACACCCACACCTTAACTGTCTTTATGATCCACTACTAGTGTTTAACCTAGTGCCCTAATCACTCATGACTGTTTGATGAATGGACAAAAAGACCAAAATGTGACCTCATGCTTCCTATTCCCCCAGCCGGGATTCCTTAATTCAGTTCCTTGCATTTTTGCCATTATCTACAGCTACCCCATCTGTGTGGTTAGAGAGGCTGAGAAAGCACAGGGTTTTGGTTCTGTGGGAAGGAACGGGGCTGGAGAGTTAATTTACAGATTGGTTCTTATGAAAAGGAACCAGCTAAGAATAGCCCTGGGATGACATGTTCCTATCTTCTCCCGCTCATAAAGGAAACCATTTCCCCACAAGAAGCCAGAGCAGGTCACGAGTTGAGAGCCGAGAACTACAGCTCAGAGATGCTATTCTTGGATATCCTGAGCCCCTGTGGTTACCAGGGACCCTGAGTTGCGCAACACTCAGCATGACAACATCACTGTGCATAAAATTTTCCCCCCTCACCCCCAGATTCCATTTCCCCATCTGCCAGGGCTGCTTATAAAGAGAAGGGGCAATGGCTTCAAAAGCCAGAAGGACACGGGCAACAGAGAGTACCCAGTCCCATCTCAGCTCTCCTGACACTCAAGACCACACTCCATCGTCTGATCAGCATCATGAAGGTCCCCACGGTTGCCTTTGCTGTCCTTCTCTGCACCACGGCTCTGTACGGCCAGGTCTTCTCTGCACCATGTGAGTCTGTGCTGCTATAGCAGGTGTTCCCACTCTCTGGCCATGGGTAGACCACATCAATCTTTTCTGTGGTCTCAGAGACCCCAAGAGAAAAGAGAGAACTTCTTAACAGGTTACAAAACATCTTGATCTTTCTCTTCAGAACTTTTATTTTTATGTGGGTTCTCTCCTAGAACCCAATTCTGAGACTCAGGGCAGGAATAGGGGAGTTAGGGTCCCTTGTAAAGATAGCAAAACAAGGCCCTAAACAAATGAGTATACAAGAGGCTGATAACAGGCCTGGTTACTTCCTAGCAGTGCCATCCACTTGCCAGCTGGCCCTAGGTCTCCCCAGGAGTTCTGTCTTTGGGGTGTCTTAAGAGATGTCCTAGGCTTCTCCTTTACTAGGGTATGACTTCTTGAACCAGACAAAATTTCCTGGAGAGAATAGTCTGCTTGGATATCTGAGTCAAAGAAAAAGAGAGGGCTTACAGTGATGAGTCAGAAAGAAGGAAGAATAGAGACAGAAATGAAGACAGAGATGGGGCATGCCTGGGCAAACATGCCCAAATGCTCTCCAGTGACCTGGCCTCCCAGCCCCCACCCCAGGGATGAGGCTGCCTTCCTCACCTGCTCAAGGGGCAGATGTTGACTGGCCTTTCCTTCTGAACCATAGTTTGGGCTCACTCTGTCCCTTCCTCTACAGTTGGTGCTGACACCCCGACTGCCTGCTGCTTCTCCTACATCAACCGGCAGATTCAACAAAAATTCATAGCTGACTATTTTGAGACCAGCAGCCTGTGCTCCCAGCCAGGTGTCATGTAAGTGCCACTCTTCCTACGTAACCCTGGAGACAGCCCCTAAGAGCATAGGTCAGCCATCCTGGAAAGGTCTAATCTAGTGGGGTCTAACAAGTGGGCAGGATGTAGCTCTTCCTGATGTGACTGACTTTGGGGGGAAGGGGTAAACAGTGAGAAAGGGATGGGAAGAGGAGGTACAGGATCCTTTGAGGACCCCTTGAGTTCACGAGAAGCTCTCTAGATGACAGGCAGAGCATCCCTGAGCTGCCCAGGAAACAGGGCAGGATAGAGGAGCCTCAGCAGGACTAAGATCCCTTACCGAATCCACAGTGTTTGATCTTCTGCCTCTCTCTGCAGCTTCCTAACCAAGAGAGGCCGGCAGATTTGTGCTGACCCCAAGGAGTCCTGGGTCCAGAAGTATGTCACTGACCTGGAGCTGAACACTGAGTGACCTGGAGGCAGCGATGGATCCAGTGACCTCAGTAGGCCCTGTGGGGAGCAGGGGCCTGAGCCTCAGAAACATTCCCGTAACCTCCACAGCTACCTCCCCTATGGGCTGTTTCTTGCCAAACAGTCACACTCCTAATTTAAATTTAAATTTATTTATACTATTTAATTTTTATAATTTATTTTTATTGTCACATTGCATTTGTGACCCTTTGTTCTGAAAAACTCCAAGGCACTTTCTTCATCACCTTCCCCCTTTGCTCACAGTGTGCTTAGTGGTGGCTGAGTGTCTGTTGTCAGCTTATTCTAGGCAGACATGGTACCAGTCACCAAACTGACAAATACGTAGTGGGTGCTTTTGTTCTGTTGCATATCCAGCTGGTGAAATAATAAAGATGCTCTTTTAAGTCATGAACTGGCATTGAGTTTGAGTTCATCTTTCTGGCAAAGCAGAATCACTGGTTCAGAGGAATAATAGCAAAGAATAGGAAGATGTGGATTATAGGGATTTGGTAGGGTGAGGGTGGTATGGGAGTAAAGGTGGGAGAGGGAGGAAGGCAGAGACATAACCACAACTATCTACTGGAGCCACAGTTCCAGAACTTTGAAATTGAATGTTTTATAAATCAACTTATAATGTACCTGCCATAGAAAATTCCCTTCTTTTTCTCTTTTTTGAGGGGTGGGAGAGGTTGAGAAAAGGTCTTGCTATGTAACACAGGCTGACCTAGAACACACTACGTAGCCTAGGCTACTCTTAAATTTGTGATTCTCCTGCCTCAATTTCCTGAGTGCTGGATAACAGGCAAGCACCATCACTCTCAGCTGAAAATTTACTCTTTGAATGGATATCATTAAGCAGAGTATTCTGTAGTGCATCTTTATGATAAATCAAGTTTTCTTAAAAATAATTGCTATTATTTTTGAGGATTACTCTAGAATGAGTGCCCTTTATGAACTGTCCATTTGATCCTACTGTTATGGTTTGGATCTTAAATGTCCCTCCAAAACTCATGTGTTGAAGGGTTGGCCCCAATACAGCAGCATTCAGAGTTGGGGCCTTTGGGAAGAGTCTGGATCATGAGGGCTCTGACTTATGGAGTCACAGCTTAAGGGTTTATGGGGATGGATTTTGTTATAAAGGTGAGCTCTCTCTCTCTCTTTCTTTGCTCCCTGGCTGCCATGAAGGGAGCAGTTTTCTTCTGCCATGATGTACTGCCTCCCTACAGGCCTAAAAGCACCTGGCCCAAGCAACCATGGACTGAAACTTCTGAAACCATGAGCCAAAATAAACCTTTCCTCCTTTTGAGTGGAGTTTCTTGGGTATTTTGACTTAGCGACAGAGAGCTGACTAAAACATCTACCAGTGCAATAGGGCTGCTTAGTTGTACTGCCAATATCTCCATTTATCAGAAAGGTAAACCAGGGCTGAGAGAGCTTATGCAAGTTGATCAAGGTCACATGGCATGTAAGTGGTACAATAAAGTTCCCGAACTAGACTTTTGTTTTTCAACTTTGACTATTCTGTCAATTACTGATCAAGACCAAACTTGATCTACCTATACTCAAATCATAAGCAAGAATTGCTTAAACCACTCACTTGGAATCCTCAGGATTGGTCCTGGGAACTAATATGTTTACCAAGCTTTTCAGGTGTTCCACATGCATGTTAATTGCCAAGAACCACTGAAGCAGCCAATAGGAGTCACCATTCTTTTCCAAATGTGCACATGATAATAGGCATATCCTGCATTCTTCTTCTAGACACCATATTCCACAAAGTAAGTGGCTAATACAGGAGAAGGAAAAGAAAACCAACCTCTATGTGGAGCAGGGTTCTGTTTACAGGTTTACTGTGAAATTTAAGCTATATAACAGTTGAATTGCTTGAGTTACAGGTATAGAGGAAATACACACTGAGCCAAGGTTCTTTTTGTAGAAGGAAATTCAAAAGACTTGTGTGAAAAGTCAAGCATATTAATTTTTATGAGCCACAATTATTTCACCTTGTTCAAAAGAATCTATTTTTTTGTATCCAAAGTTGCTTAGAATTGTGGTGATCAAACTCTTTAAAGTGTAAACATTACTACTTAGAAAATATTAAATGCATATATTGTTTGACCTGATTCCATTTCTCAGAATCTATTTTATAGAAATACTGCCAAAGGACAGGAATAGGACTGTGTGGTTTAAGAGGTAGAGCTCCTGCTTTGCAAGTGTGAAGCCCTGAATTCAAACTCCAGTCTCTGCCCACCCCCCAAAAAAAAGAAAGAAAAAAAAAGAATGGGAATATATAGGCATAAGAATATTCTTTGCAACATGGTTGGTAGAAAGCAAACAAATGAAAACAATCATCAGAAGGGGACTGAATTAGTAAAGAATTATGATGCCCATCCCTGGAATATTCCATAACCAGTGTAAAAAGGGTAACACACATCTGCATCTATGGAATGTGTCCATGACATTATGTGCAAAAGTGCATATATTTATATCTAGCATACGCACATGTACATATACACTGCAGAACTATTTGTATAGAATATTTTTGTTTATGTTTTGTTTCCTTACTGTGCTGGGGACCAAATCCAAGGTCTTGTGCATGCTAGGCAAGCATGCTACCTCTGAGCTATGTCTCCAACACGTTGTTTTTATTTTTAAAATCCATATAAGCATCTGTCTGTCTATATACACTTACATAGGAAAATATCTGAAAAGATACATATCAAATAGCTAACTGCAACTTCTTAAAGTAGATACAACTTTTTTTTAGGAGTGGAGGATTTTTGTCTTTTTATTTTCTGTGCTTTTAAATTTTTATTTATTTTTCAGTGAACTTTTATTACTTACCTCTGTTCTCACCTTGCCCTCACCTTTGATGAGTGACATACCCTTCATTGGAACCTCTTGCTGGTTGGGATTCTGAGTTGACACAGAGAGAATAGAGCTCTCCTGGCTTATGGAGTCTTGATGCCATGGTGGCTTCTATATAACAAGAAGCAATGATCGAGTGCTTGTGACTGAGGCTTTCATGTCATAACACACACACACACAGAGCACTTCTCCCAGGCCATATCCCCTTCCATTAGGAGGAACCCCATTCCCTACACCATTACCACCCACACCTACTGTAAGTGTGAAGGTGCCATTAGGAGAACACAAGGTGTAGCATTTGTCCTCAAAGAGTGAAGATATAACCTTTTCTTTGCCATTGGCTTCAAAAATAAGTCTTGGTCATACAAAATTTCCTTTGATGCACTGAACTGTCAAGGCCCAGAAACCCAAAGCTAAGTGAAAAGTTTCATGGTACCCGGAATTCTCTAAACACTGTTTGGGGCACAAACACAGCAAACAGAGCAAGGACCCCTGTCAGGGCAAAGGGAGGAGAATTAGTAACAGGCTCCTCAGCCATTTCAGAGTCCAGATCCAAATGAGATCCTGGGTCAGCCTGTCAGGCAGCCAACTCTCCTCCTTGCCAGGGTGGGGCGTGGGTGGGTTCCTTCCATGGAAGCATCTGAGATGTGCACCACAGAGGGGTCCCTTCTCTGGGGCTGCCTATTTCCTGTCTGTGGGGGTTAGGAACCTGGGGTTTTCCGTAGGTGTTGAGCAATTAATGGCTGGTTAAAAGCAGCTTTGTGACTTCTTTGGCAATGTAACCCCCTCTGATGATATAGACTTCTAATCGATTTGATCAGAAGATCATTCCATGGGCTAAAAACCCAGAGAGTTTTTCCAGAAAGTCATAGGCTTTGCACTTTTACTGGGGCTGGGAATTTGTGCACTGTAGCACAAGCCTCAATACTGCAGTCTTCCCCACCTCCAAGCCATCTATCTCCATAATGGATCCTATGGAGTTGTAGAGGCACATATGGAGGTAATGACTGTTTTTTTTCTTTTTTTTGGCATACTGGGGTTTGATCTCAGAGTCTCATTTGCTAGGCAAGCGCTCTACCACTCCTCAAATCCTTTGCTTTTAGTTTGTTTTTCAGATAGGGTTCTCTTGCTTTTGCCCCAGCTAGCCTAGGACCATGATCCTCTGATCTTTGCCTCCTGAGTAGCTGGGATTACAGGCATGCCTGTCCAGCCTGAGGTAAATGAAAATTTGACTCTGGGCCCAAAGCCACCTGCTTCTTGCTGATTGTGTTCTTGAAGTGGGATATCCTTTTCCTGCTTCATAGGAGGAAGACTTGGGGCAACAATATGACTCCAGGTTTATTTCCTAAGTCTCTCACCTCCCTGTCTCTGCTCACAGTAACTTTAGAAAATTCTGCATTTATAGGCCCACAAGATTTCAGATTACTGGGTTCTCAGTCGGTCAACAGACTGGCCTTTCTAAGCAAAGCTGAATGTTTTTCCTTTTGTGATTTCAGATGAGCCCATTTCAAAGTAGCCTAAACTTTTTTTTTTTTTTGAGACAGGGTCTAGCTATGCAGTCCAGGCTGGCCTTAAACTGGTAATTCTCCTGTCTTACCTTCTGGAATGCTGGGATTACAGGCATGTACCACCACACCTGGCCCTAAACTCTTTCTTAAAGGACCTTTCTGATTGATGCTTAACTTAATCAAGCTATTAACCTCCAATAGTCAGCAATTTCTTAATGCTACAGCCTTAGTGTTTGGCATGAAGCCCTAGCACTAAAATACAACAGGCCACGGTTCAACCAGCAACTGCAATACCTTGCGATGATGGGTGTGAGCATCACCTAAGAAGGTACAAGTCCAAAGCCCCCCTGCCAACCTTTAGGAAGCAGGGCCTGGCAATCTGTGTTTTCACAAGCCTCCAGGCTTGTGTGAACCAAAGTTCAAAATCTGCTCCACTCAGTGAACTACTTTTCCAGTTCAGCCAGGACCTGTAACTTTTAACAGAGCTCTTATCTCTGTAAGGTGTAGGTCTCTGCAGTCTCAGGATGCTGACAAGTCCAAGGAGGAGGAAAAAAAATAAACAAACCTAGCTGGAAGAGGTTTCAGTAAATGAACCCAAGACTCAGAGGTGGATGTGGTCCCAGGC